TTCTACTGTACGGAAACCACTATGTTTGACCACCCCAACACTGTGCATGTGGAAGCGCGTACACCCGTTGGCGTTCGGCTTTAGCATATATCTACATTAGTTTCTGTTCTCCATTACTTTTCGTCCATGAAACGGCTTATATTCTTCGTACGAGTCGACGCCTATCCAGTTTGGCCTAGAAAAGGCTACGTTAGAAGTACAAGCAACCCTCTTCCCCATTGTCGTACATATGATTGATTAATGGCATCCTGTGTACTCCAACGAAGCCTTCCTGCTGACATTAGAAAAAATGTCCCACTGAACTACCACACAGAACCGTTGGGACAGCGTCTAGTAGCAACGACAGATGCGGTCGCAATTATCTTACTCGAGCCAGTTTTACACGCACAGAAAAATTTCCAGCAGGTCCTGGCTCAGTCAGTTGACCTGCTAACAACATACAATTTTCCGCGCCTGTCTACCTGACTTCCATCTCCAGCCAGGTTTATTATCAATGCTCGACTAGAGTGTAACCGGCTACCTTAAATTATCCGTCCGCGTTCCCCACATCTTACTTGTGCGAAAATATGAACATAAAACAACTCTTCTTAATTTAAATTGACGCTATGTAGTAGCCTGATGAGGATTTATCGATAGCCAAGTAGTCTTCTGAATCAATATCTAGTTATTCTTATTAATGCGTAGCCTCTCTGTTTTGTTTTTACTCTGTGATACAGCAACTGAGTGACATACGTTATGCCCTCTCATCAACTACTGTGATTTTCAACCTCTTTTTGTTTTCTGACTTTTCCATTTGCCTTTCTCTCGATAGAACTCCCTCATTGTGGTACCGGATGCAAAAATAGAGAAGACTGTTGCCAACGCCAAGGTCTACGATCACTTCCAGTTTGAGCGGCTGGGTTACTTCACCGTGGACCAGGACTCAGAACCGGGCAAACTCGTTTTTAATCGCACCGTGTCACTGAAGGAAGATCCCGGCAAATCAGCACACACCCAACAAAAACCAGGATGCAAGATCAGTGGCGACGGCCATCATTAACGATTGGATTA